GTTGGACCATTGACCACTCGTCCCCGAGAGGACGGAGCATTGTTCCCACAGGACCGATCACCGATGGCCAATCGTTCCTTTCTACTTTGCCAAAGGTGGCTCAAAAATGTCTTCCCTAGTCTGTCTATCCTAACGATATCCCTTCCCGCCTTTTCAACCCACCTCCTATGCCCCACTACAGCTACCGTCCTTTCCTCTCTATTCCATGCCTCAAACATCTCCCTGTACGTTCCATCTATTTTTCCCAGCTCAGTCACGTACACTTCCCTCTCCTTCTTGTACAACGGACATTCCGCGACTACATGAACACGGTCTTCGCATTCGAAGCCGCAATCACATTTGAACTCGTCGTCTTCCTCGTCTACCGTCCTATGTCTTCGTCGACGTTCTCGAAGGCCTATGTCCCCGGTCCTGAATTTGACCTTAAGCTTTGTTCCTGCATCCATTGGTCCATGTAGGTAGTCCTTGAACCCTATTCCTTCCTTCAACATTCCGTACACTTCTAGACCCTCCTTATCCTTGGAAGTTTTCCTTACATTCTGTTCTTCTCTCTCGGCACAAGCAACAGATATCTTCTCCTTGAACCCCTGTAGACCCTCCGTTTCCAGCGTTTCATCTTCGTCGATGTCGAGCCCCTTCCATACGTCCTCTACAACCTTGACCCATTCCGTGGGTTGTCTACCCCTCTTTTTGTTTGCCCACTTCGCCTCGGGGGGAGGAGGGGGCTCTCTTCTCGCACACGTACCCCCTCAACAGCTAAAAAAAAAACACCGACCCCCCCCGGCAGCAAACATCGCACCAACCCCGTTGGTTCGTCGGCGTTACCCACGTTAAGTGTCACGGCAAAAGACGTTATTTGACTAAGACCTCATTTCCAAAGATTGCTGCCCGCAGACAATCCCTCCTCGGCGACAACTCGTGTTGCAAACAGATACATACCGGGGGCAAACGCGATTTCGACTTCCATCTATCAACTACGTTGGGGTACCGTAAGAGTCGGAGAGTTGGCACCGGCCGGAGAGACGGCACCGGCCGGAGAGATGGCACCGGGGTGCGATGAAAAATCCGAGGAAACAACATTTGATTCGATTTACGCACCGGGGTCGGTGAAATCACACCCGGTGCGATCTCTCCGACCCCCAAATCCAAAATTTATCTCATTTTCAGCTGCCGGAATGAGGTACATGTGCGTTACCTTTTACACGTGCGGATGGAGTCAGCGGAGCGCCACTCCTTTACGTACGATTGGATGGTCGCGGTTCACGCGGGATGCCAGTTGGCTCAAAACTATCTTCCCTAGTCGATCTATCCTAACGATATCACTTTTGCGAAGGGGGGGAATCAAATCTAGCATCCAACGACCAGTTGCAATCATTGAAGGAGGCGGCGAGAGCGCGTGCGTTCGAGCGTTGGCGGTTGTCTATTGGTGGCGTCTTGGTGGCGTCTTTGCTAGGAGTAAAGACGAGGCCGTGCTGTTGGTAGGAAGGGAGAAAATGCAAAACCGTCCGTGTCTCTGCGTCGCCCATCACTTGAGCCACGAACACTCTTCTTTCACCTGGAGACCGCCACCGCCACCCCTTACGCAGGCTTGGTTCCCCTCATTTACGGCAACGGCCACAAAAAGCACCGGCCACGTTAAGAGCTCGCTGGGCCTTCCTCCCCCCTGGCCAGAACCCAAAACAAAAAGGTCTTTGTCCCATCCTCCTCTCACCAGATGAGCTTCGACCCTTCCAGGACGAACCATCTCTTCTGCCAATTCTTGAGGCCGCTCTTCCCCTTCTTGTACAGGTACCCCTGCCGCGTGATGGGCGCGTGGCTGGCGCCTATCGCTCTCACGCCGCCGGTCGTGCCGACCCCTCCCCCCGACGAAAACGTCGCCGACCCCGAGCGCCCCGAGTTGAACGACGCAGACGAGCTCATCCTCTGCAGGTCCCCGCCGGACACCCGGGGCGACCCTAGCCCGCCCCCGCCCCCGCCGCCGCGGCCGACGCTGTCCACCCTCCCCCCGCCGCCACCGCCGCTGTCGGCAGCCCCCGCCGCTGCCCCCGCCGCTGCCCCCGCCGCCACTGCCGGGCTCGCGTCGACCTTGACCCTCCCCTGCATCATGCACAAGAACATGTACCGCGAGCAGGAGTCGAACTCTTGTCGTTGGTGGTGCTGCCCTTGTTGCCGTTGCTGTGTGCGAGGGTCACCCCCAATCCTTACCCCCCCCCCCCCCCCCCCCCCCCCCCCCCCCCCCCCCCCCC